GCTTCCTCTTCCTCTGTGAGATCCATAACCTCTTCCTCTTCCTTGAGTGTGAGTGACTAGGTTAGCTGCTAGATAAGAGGATTCTCCTTCACTTGCTGTTTCTAAGCTTTCCATTCTGCTTTCAAAGCTTAACAGCACTGAATAGGCTTCCATCATTGAACATTTTTCTGTCCTAGAGGTGAGGTTCACAACAACTGGATTATATTCTTGGCCTAGACCAGACAAGAGGTGCAGAATCTGGTCATTTTCTTCAATTTTTTGGCCTGCAGCTGCCAGAAGGTCACATATCCCCTTGACCTTGTTGAAATATTCTCTTATCTTCAAGTTTCCTTTTTTTAAGGTTTGCAGCTCAAGCTTAAGCTGCATTTGTCTAGCAAGACTGTGGCTAGCAAAGCTCTTTTTTAAACACTCCCATATCTCCTTTGAGGTGTTTAAACCCACTATGGTTATGAGTATGCTTTCTGAAAGTGAAGATAAGAGCCAGGAGGCTATGAGTTGATCTTGCCTAACCCAACTCAGGTAGGCCTTGTTAACAATCAACTCCCCATTGTTTGGATCTCGAGCTAGCTTGTCAGGTGCAGGTGTGTCTCCAGTTAAGTAACCAAGAAGATCATGGCCTCTGATGGTGATTAAGATCTGCTGTTCCCAGACTAAGAAATTGCTTTCATTGAGCTTAGTTGATATGAGCTGATTTTGGAGCTGAATAATGGGATCTGGTGGTTGCAATAGAGCTGGTGTTGCCATGATAGAGATTTACCTCGAGATCTGAAAATAAAGGAAAAGGAAGGGGTATGGATCAGAGCCTAAGCTCTGATACCATAATAGAAATCTGATCCATTCCCAACATAGCATGAGAAGAAATCTCCATAAATGATAATAAATGACTAATCATCAAAATAGAAAAATTCTTCATCGACTTTTTACTATCACATGTTCACTGTATACATTTCTTGCTTCATAAGATATTGCAGATAAGACTTGCACAAATATATGGGGCTGCTACAACCTATTACCAAGACAAGACTCTATTTATATGAACCATACAAAGCATGCTAGGGTTACTAGGGCTTTTGTCTCTATATGCAGCTGTAATTATCTTTTGTCTTCATGCATGGTCTTTTGTCTTCCTCGTGGGTGACATGGCTCGGTTGTATCATATTCCTAACATCCCCCCTCAATTCTATGCATGACCTTGAAGTTAACATTAACTTATTTCTTAGCCATGCAAAGAATTGTCCTGTGAGGGCTTTTGTAAAGATATCTGCCACTTGTTCACTAGCAGGTAAGTGTTGCACTGAAATTACCCTCCTATCAACCTTTTCTCGAATGAAATGCAAATCCAGCTCAAAGTGTTTAGTTCTTGAGTGGTTAACTGGATTACTGGCCAAACATACAGCTCCTCTATTGTCAACCCAAATAACACTTGGTCTCTTAGAAATAATTTTCAGCTCATCAAATAAGGAATGCATCCATAACACTTCACATGCTGCTTGAGCTACACTTCTATATTCTGCTTCAGTTGATGATTTAGAGACCACTGCTTGCTTCTTTGCACTCCAGGATATTAGATTATCTCCCATGTAAACACACAGACCACTTGTAGATTCCTATCATCTACATCTGAACCCCAGTCAGCATCTGAGAATGCTTTGATGTTGAAGTTTGAACACCTATTTATCTTGAGTCCAAATTCTCTAGTGGCTGCAAGATACCTCATGATCCTTTTAACAACTTTCCAATGTTTGTCTAGAGGATTATGCATATATTGACAAACTTTGTTAACACTGAAAGTTATATCAGGTCTAGTAAGAGTGAGGTATTGAAGAGCTCCTACTATCTGTCTATAGAGGTGACCATCATGCATTGGTTGGCCATCATTCTTGGATAGGGGTGGATGACTTACCATTGGTGTACTGAGCCCTTTGGCCCCCTTCATTCCAGCCCTGTCTAAGAGGTCATCAATGTAAGAGGTTTGAGATAAAAGGAGACCTTCAGGTTGGCTGGAAACTTGAACTCCTAAGAAGAAATGGAGTTGGCCAAGATCCTTGAGAGAGAAAAAAGTAGAAAGCTGCTGGATAGTGGACTGAATAAGAGACTTTGAGCTGGCAGTGATGAGAATGTCATCTACATAGGCCAAAATGTAGATAGAAGAGTTATCACCATGCTTGTAGTAGAGAGATGAGTCTGCTTTGGAGATGGAGAACCCAAGAGAAAGGAGAATGGAGCTCAATTTAGAAGACCAGGATCTAGAGGCCTGCTTGAGGCCATAGAGAGACTTCTTAAGTTTACAGACAAAGTTCTTGTTTGAGTGAAGTTCAAATCCCTGAGGTTGAGTCATATAGATATCTCTGTCCAACTCTCCATTAAGGAAAGCATTATCCACATCTATCTGGTGGATGTGCCAGTTCAAAGACACTGCTAAGGTGAGAATAACTCTTATAGTTGTAGGCTTAACTACTGAGCTGAAGGTCTCTGAGTAGTCAATGCTTGCATGTTGTGTGAAGCCCTTGGCAACAAGCCTGGCCTTGTGCCTTGAGATAGAGCCATCTGGATTGGTTTTGAGCTTAAAGACCCACTTACAGCCTATGATGTTACTGTGAGGGGGTGCTGGTACTAAGTCCCAAGTTTTATTCCTCATAAGTGCTTGATATTCTTCTTGCATGACAGAGTGCCAATGAGGTTGAGATAAGGCCTCAGTCACTGAGGATGGCTCCTTGTGAGAAGTAACAGTAGTGGATAAAACCCTTGGTTTTCTAATGCCTGATTTTGATCTAGTGATCATTGGATGAATGCCTGCATCAGTTGGATTAGTAACAGCATTGTGCTCAATAGGTAAGTCTATAATAATTTGCCCAATGGGGATAGAAGATGGAGATGAAGGACTATGAACAGGATAAGAAGAATTTGGAGATGATGGAGGAGAGTTATTGATGTTGTTGGAAGAATGCTGAGAGTTTGGGTTGGGACTGTTGGTATGTGAACTGAGTCTTGGTGTTTCATGAGGGGGAGAGGGTGGTGGGGTATGCACATGAATGTGAGGAGGTGAAAATGTTGGAGATGGAACAGTGGGGATAATTGGATTATTGAAAGTAGGTGGAGAATCAGACTGTGGTTGAAAAGGAGAGTGAAGGGGAAAGATGTTCTCATTAAAAATTATATGCCTTGTGATGATGATTTTGTTGGAAGGTAGGAGGACCTTATAGCCCTTGTGAGAGGGTCTATAGCCAAGAAAAACAGAAGGCAAGCTCTTTGGTTGGAGTTTGTGGGCATTGTATGGTTTCATGAAGGGATAACACAGACAACCAAAGCATTTGAGGAATGTGTAGTCTGGTGCTTGGTTGTATAAGGACTGAAAAGGAGAAAGAAATTTTATAACTTTGTTTGGAGTTCTATTGATGAGATATACAGAAGTTGCAAAAGCCTC